TACCTCATCTCAGATATATAGACAGAAATTAATTTTTGTATTGCTTAGTGATATGCAGAATTCCTTCGAGAATTTAAATCAAATTTTTTTTGTAAAACAGGATCCCCAGTTACCAAAAATCTGCTCTGAATCATAAAATAAAAAATGCAATAAAAATAAGATATTATTTCATTAGAAAAGTTTTTAATTGCTTTTATAAATAAGATATATTATGAACACTAATGTCTTAAGAAAAAAAAAACTTTGTCACTCAGTCAAGCTGTCAACACCTACTGTCGTGTTAAAAAATTCATTTCTGTGATATTTTAAACTTAAAGTAAGTAATATTTGTTTCAAATCAGATTAATTAAACTTTAAATCAGCTAATATTTCTCAAATAAAGTTCCAGAAAAGTATATTTTATTAGTGAAAGATTTTTTTAATAATAATTATATTGTGCTGACAGCTAAAAATGGCACTAAAATCGGCAATTTTTAGTGATTTCAAAAAAAAAACTCCTTCCAGTCAATTTAAATTAGTTTTGAGATGAAGCAAAGTATTTTGCTAATTGGAAATATTAAATTAATCTATTAGCTTGAAACTAAAACTACAATTGAGGCTTCAAGAAAGATTTTTCAGTTTTAAATCATTTTAAACCTTAGGCATTGTGTTTCTGTGGAAGTACCTACTTTTATGTGAAATTGAACAGAAGATACAAATTTACAGTTTTGAAGTTTTCCTCGTCTTGATGAATCTGTTCATATGAAAAAGATTGGTTCTCAAAATCAGATACTCAGCAATTTACATGCATCTAAGTATAAATGCCTAATTGATTATGAAGTATGTATATTACCATACAAAATGATATGGCTGAGTGATATATAAAGTATACTGAAGTAAAAGTGGTCTTTTCCTTATTTTGGGACTATTTTTTATTTTAATGATTTTGTTCATCTATAGTTGAATATGTTACAGGAATGGAATATTATTTTTATTGGTTATTCTAGTAATGGCTTAATAGAAATATCAACTCATATTTGAATGAAAAAGCTTTGTATTTATAAATACAAGATATAATTATGCATTGTTTGAAGTTAAATATTTTTATTACCATTACTTATATTACTAATGCTACCATGGTCAAAATATAGAATAATTATTATTGAGCATCCTTCACTGATAAGGTAATACATTAGAGCAGGTTAGTTTAACCAGTTAACCTTGTAGTTAAGGTATTTTAACTGTTAATAAAAAATACATTTGACTTAAACAAATAACAACACTATTTATTCAGACAACTAAAAATTATTACCATTTCTAAATGAGAGGCTGAATATTTAACCTTGTAAAAATATTCAACTTATCTATAAAGAAAAAGGAAAGGAAAAGAAGAAAGCAGATAAAGTGTAAATACAAAATTTTTATATTCCAGAAATTGTTGGTGTTTTACAAATTTTTTTTTTTTTTTTTTTAGTCAAATATTTTATTTAAAGAGTTTTCTTCCAACAGAAAATAGACTAGACACAGGAAAATGTCTTAATTACTCCTCTTACCACTTTGATACAGACTGTTAATTTGTCTGCTACTCAGACTCCTTATTTGATACATTGTCCTTTTATTTATACTTGGCATGCAGACATAGCAGTAGACACATGAATACATGTGAATATTTAATTGGAAAATGCTTGGCTCAATTTTAAAGTGTATTAAGTGAAGAGTATAGAATCTCCAATAACTTAACTATATATGCTTAAAAGCTGAAACTTTGTGGATTAATAATTTGATATATTTTTTAAATCTTGTGTAATTTTTACCTTTCTCTGTAAATTATAAGTTAATTAAATTTTAAGTTAGTTTGCTCTCAGTAGGATATCGTATGTTATTAATAATTTTCACTAAAAAGGTTTTTGTTTTGTCTGAAACAAATTAATGAATAGAATATGTTCACTTTACCAAATCTTATTTTATATAGATTTTTAATGTTTTTCTTCAGAAATACTACACAATATACTAAAAGCAGGATTTGTTTCTCAAAATCAGTAATTGTCAGTCAGTATTAAATATAATGCATTTTCTAATCTTATGAGCTGTTGAAATAATCTGGTTTATGAAGCATTGTTTGCATATGCTTAATTGTTGCATTAATTATGTCAATAGTTCCAAGAAATAGTTTTTGCATATATTTTTGAATATCACATTGAACATTAGTATTTTGTTATCTTTTACATTGCAGTTACTTATTTCTATCTTCTTGAATATGGCATATTTTATTTTATACTATATTTCTTTTGTGATAATATATTTTCAAATTTTCTTGTTTTATTGTGTGTGTATGAGGGGTGGGAACTTTATTGTCATTTTATTTTTTTTAGAATCCTGCCTTTTAACTGTTAAATGTCATTCCAAATATTTCTTATCAAATATCAAATCTCCATGTTAAATAATACAAATTGACGACAATTACGTAACTATTTCAATTTTAAGAAATTTTAGGAATGTGTTCCATCAAGTTATCCATATCATTCTCACATACTGTATTGAAAGTTTGCAATTTATGTCTTAGTATTTTACTATTTTCTTTCAAGTTCACCTTGTGGTTTACAGGTATGGCTATATATACTATTTAGAATATCTTCATTGTAAATTATTCCAACATGAAATAGGTTGTCTATTCCTTAAATTTCCAGAGCAATTTACTTTTTGAAACTACTAAAAACATTTGGTTTGTGCTTCATACCATTTTATTTTTGGTTTTGTTTATTGCATAGAGAATTTTTTTTATAGTTTCTAATATATTACATTATTGTTCCTACTCAATCATGTTTAGATAAACATATCCTTTTATTTTATCACTACTTACTTTATTTACTTATTACTTATATTAACATTACTAGTGATTTTCCTTTTCTTCTTTTGACATTTTGTCATTTTCAAACAGCATGTGCTCATTTTCTCTCCATATTTGCCTTCTGTTAATCTCATTGATTATTATTTTTACTTTAAGACAATATTGTAGTTAAAACTCTTGCTCTTGCAATAATTATCTATGTACTATCCCCTAGTGTTCATGATTTAAAATCTTTTTATTTTACTTCAGAATTATTTCTATTTGATTCAAGAAGCAATTATTATTCTCAAATGTTATTCAATACTGTATGGTTTTTCATTTTTCAAAAATCTATTTCCATTGTTTTTCTTTTATTATTGACTAAATTTGATAAATTTACAAAATTGTTTAATTTTTAAATCTCATGAACATAGCAAAAAATTGTTCAATTATTAGCTATTTCAGATTTTAATGTTTTTAGAACGGTTTTCATTTGAAATAAAATACGTTGGCTTTGTTCTTGCTGTGTTGCTTAGATATTCTTCTTGGTACACTACAAAATCGTATCATTAAGTTGAATATAAATTTTCTCCTCCTTCTGCCACTCACCATTCCTTCCACCAGACACTCACAGAACACGTTTCCAGGGATTTTCGGAAACCTGGAACATCATAAAACTAAAGAAAAAATTGCAGAAATTATGATTTCATCAGCTAAAACCTGAAACTTGTATTGACAAACAGAATCCTTCGTTGGTTTGGTAAATCCACTCTTCCACAAAAGATATGAGCATTGGATGAGAAAAGCCTCCCCTTCTCTCTCAATATAAATTATGTGGCATAGGCTATAAAGCGAACGGGGTCGGGGAGTATAGACTGAGAGAGAATTGTTGTTTCCTTTTTGGTAAGTAGTTTATGTTTATCTCAGTCAAGCAGACCAGTTTGATTCCGCTCCTTCTTCATTCTCCAATTTCCTATCTGAATAAATTAATTTCATTGTTGCTAACATTTTTCTCGGTTTTCCTTTGAATTGATTTCCACATTCAGCATCAGCGACAATTCTTTTCTTCATGTTGTCATATTCTTTTTAGTTTAATAACAGCACATGTCTCATTCATTCTCAAATTCAATTGTTCTTGCTGCCTTGCATAAAAAAATATTTCATCTTTCCTGCTCATAAAAAAACGTCATTTGTTACTTCACACATACTTTTGATAATTTGCCATTTTATTTTTCTTCCTTGAGTTTGAGAAAAAGTAGATATTCAGTAAATATAGATATAGTTCGTATCCATTTTCTTAAATCTGCTCAAAAACATTTAGCTAGCAACTGGGGATTATGGAAGCAGTAAGTAACAGGTACAAGGATGGCATCAGTTTGAAAGTTGTAAATAACCTTATAAAGTTAATAGGCACATTTCAAGAGAAATGATCTTTAATTTTTGAATTTAGATACAAAAATACCATAAAAACGTTAGATGACAATCAGAACATAAAAAAATCACTTTTAGAATTTATGTAAATTAAAGATAAAATACGCAACTACTACTTCTACTAGATTCGATCATTTTGTTAAAAAAACCTGTAAGAAATAACACTTCCAGACTTTTTTTTTTTGGCTTTGGCAAATATTATTTTGTGTTTTATTGTTTGTTTTTAATTGATTTACAAGTGATTTGTACTTACGGACCTTGTACGTAAACAAGGTAATCAAACGAAGCTTACATGATTTGTTAAGTGAACAGGAAGTTGAAAACATTGAGCAAGGGAGATAAACATGCTTAAAAGAATAAAAACCAGGCCAAAATATTTGCTCCTAACTTTCTGAGTCTGTTAAACGACTTTTGATGTAACGTTGTCTATTGCAAATTGGCTAGCTTTGAAATACGTTTTGCTAAAGAAAAATGATTAATAAAATTTAAAATATAATATAAATAATTGGGATCAAAATTAATACACTACCGTAATTTTTATTTTATTTGAAATCAATCTGTTCATTTTCCTTCGCACATAGATTTTTACCCAATGAAATTCAGGACTCGGCAAAACACATTTTAAATTACATATTCATTCAAATAAATGGTCCTCAAGCAATAATTGCAGAGCCTGTGAAGTTCCATGAAAAATAATTACTATAAGAAATTATTTATTCAAAAATTAATAAATTTAAAAAACATCACCAGAGCTACTACTTCAATGAAAACTTCTTTCTTTCTTTCTTTCTTTTTCTTCTCTCTCTTTCTTTCTCTTTCTTCTCTCTCTTTCTTTCTCTTTCTTCTTTCTCTTTCTTCTCTCTTTTTCTTCTCTTTCTTCTCTCTTTTTCTTCTCTTTCTTCTCCTTCTCTTTCTTCTCTCTTTTTCTTCTCTTTCTTCTCTCTTTTTCTTCTCTTTCTTTTTCTTTTCTTTTTCTTCTCTTTCTTTTTCTTTTCTTTTTCTTCTCTTTCTTTTTCTTTTCTTTTCTTTTCTTTTCTTTTCTTTCTTTTCTTCTTTTCTTTTCTTCTTTCTTTTCTTTTTTTTTTCTTTTTCTTTCTTTCTTTTTCTTCTCTTTCTTTTTCTTTTCTTTTTCTTCTCTTTCTTTTTCTTCTCTTTCTTTTTCTTCTCTTTCTTTTTCTTCTCTTTCTTTTTCTTCTCTTTCTTTTTTTTTTCTCTTTCTTTTTTCTTTTTCTTTTCTTTCTTTTTCTTCTCTTTCTCTTTCTTTTTCTTCTCTTTCTTTTTCTTTTTTCTTCTCTTTCTTTTTCTTTTCTTTCTTTCCAATTTATTCATATTTTGTTTGATCTTTTTTTTTTGCTTGTAGCATTCACACTCTTGGATTTAAGTTGTTACTCTTACTTAGCATTGTCGTTATTGATAAGATTTTTCAATAGTATGTTTTTAAAGGTGAAGTCAATAAAAAAAATCGAAAATAAATGGAAAAATAAATCATTTTTGTAGGCAATGAACTGCTCTATTTATTTATTTTTTTCAAGTTTTGAATTTTTAATTAGTTTCCTCATCATGTTTCCTACTTCCAAAATGAAAATATTTATTTAATTAAAAAAAATGTCAATGATCTTTTTGTTAAAGTATTTTTTTTTAATTAAACGCTGTTTAAACTTTAAGAGGCGTCATTATTTGCATATTTCGATATGGTCATTAAACGAAATTAAGAAAAAAACTAATAAATTACATAAACTTTTTAGCATTTCTTAATCGTCATAGTATTATAAAAATAAAATCATTATCATCAGTTACGTAATTAATTAGAATTAGCAGTTATTTGATTTTATTTTTATTTTCTGAAGATTTTTTTAAAATTTTTATGTTAGTTTACGCATCAGTATGAATAAAAATACGTTAGGAAAAGTCACTAATTGAAAACAAATAATCCTTTTTTTTTATCAAGTCCCTAAAATTAACTTTATTAACCCTAAAAAACACTACTTTTTTACGTTACTACGTGGACAAAGAAAAGATTTTTTATTGAGAGCTGTTTTAAACTTTTAGTTTTATTTCATAGGCAGATTTTATTTTAAGGTCATTCAGACGCCGCCAATTTTGAAGTCTGATAGTGACCAATAATTATTTGTTTTCTTACAACAAACTGTCTCTAATGTCGGCGTTGTAATTTTATTATAGCCTACAAGATTTTTCTGTAGTATCTGTCTCTGCTTATCTGAAAAATGGACACTTTTTTGTTCTTTTGGGATTCATGTAATCAATTTATTTTTGTCTTAAAATATTTATAACTCAAGTGAAATGAAGATTTTTTTTATTTCTTACAAAATATTTATCTTCTTTTTAAACAAAAAAGATATTGAGAAAAATTGTATAGAGATTGCAAAAGTATATTATAAATATACATACATTTTTTTCTAATTTAAATCAAAATAATTTCTTATTTTGACTGGCAGTGAACTTTTTTCAAGTTACAGTTTATATGGGAAAGAAAAATTACTTAATTCATTGCTAAACATGTATCTTATTTCAGATGAGGTGTTTCATAACATTATTTTGATAAGAGTTTTTATTTCTTATTTGCTGATTTCATATTTATAACTGAAAATTATGATGAATCCTAAAATCAATCTTAAAAATCTGTTGGACTCGAGCAAAATTTTTATTAAAAACCATGAACAGAATCATTAACAATATTTGTTGAAAAAAAGTTTTAGAAAGATTTAATTTTAATGTTATTGTTATGCTAGAGAGCATCCATTATGCATTCTCCTTTTATGAACTTCTCCACATACTCTTGTTTATTTATTTTTGTTTTTGCTCTAAGTAACTTTTAACTCTTTACCATCATTACACATATAGTTAGTAAAATACTTTAATTAACTCTTAGTATAAAAGGGTCTTTATTCATTCATAGTACATTCAGTAATAAAACAATGATATCTACAAAATCCTTTAAAAAATGAACATAAAGAGAAGGGTAGACAAAAAATGTTTGACACGTTGATGTTTGTTATTATATTTAATAACAGAAATAAAACCTGACAATCTTTTAACTTCAAAGAAAATGTGATGACTAAAATACTGATTGAGAAAGCAGGAATTTGTTTTCTCTTATATTTCTAAAATTTTAAGTCTTGCACAAAATCTTATTTTCCAAATCATTTGTTTTCTCTTATATTTCTAAAATTTTAAGTCTTGCACAAAATCTTATTTTCCAAACATTTTATTACATCTTGTTTTAGTACATAAGGAAATTAAAATAGAAACTTAAACCTTAATTACTTAAAAACATAAGTAGGTCTATGGATTTGCACTCAAAACCCATGAACTTATTTCATTTTTTTTTGTTATCCTGATAACACACATGCATAAATTATTTAATCCAAAAATCTATATATGTGGTCGGTCATTTTGATTTTTAAAAATTAGTAGGGTTTTTATAATTAAATTTTAAGAACAAAATTGATTAATTCTTCTTTATAGACATCAGAGTTTTAAAGTAAATGCAAATGAAAAAAAAACAATTCTCCAAAATAAATATGATGTACTGTAATTCAAGGTTTTTATATTTGAATGCTCCTTCATCAGTAGTAGTAGGTCTAAACATACAAGTCTATGAGCTCATATGCAAATGAAGTAAGACTTATTTCAATATTGCTACACCTTCCCGAAAGGAAAATCATAGGTTTTGAGCTTCTATATGCGGCTTAATTTTTGTTGATTCTTTGACCTCCTTTTCTCCTCCTCTCTATGGGAGATTTAAATCTGTCTCATCTATTATTGTGATCTTGGTATTCATAGTGTATGTTCACATCATCCATGCTCTTTCTATCTTCCATTGATACCTTTTTTTCACTAATTTAATTTTCTTGGTTTAAAGGCTCCTGTCTGGGGATTACCTGTTCTTTTATCTTCTCTGCAAATTATTGTCTGGACCTTATTTAGTTGGTATGGGCAATAAATACCCTGCTGATTTTTTTTTTTTTTTTTTTTTTTTTTTTATTAATGTTGTATTTTGTCCCTTTTGCATTAGACATTTGACCCTTTCAGGAGTTGATTCACTATTTTTCTTCTACCACATTTTCTCATTAACGGATAAAACATGGTTAACTGTGTTTCTAATCTGTCTTCCCATTAATACAGGTGAACATTTTAATCTGCTAGAATGTGGTAGAGTTTGTAGTCTTGGTAGAAAACTTAATATTATTCTGGTGAGAAGAAAATCTGTTTAATCCTATTTTCATAGTTTGTACCATTCTTGCTGCAATTCCATTTGATTGTGTATGATATGATGGAGTTTTATATGGAATGCAGCCAATTTTTCTTAACCAAGAATACAGACTAACATTACAAAATCTAGAGGCATGATCTGATACTAATGCTTTTAGGAACCCATTTCTGAAGAATATTACTTGTAATATTTATCATATGGTATCAGTTCTATCATAATCACAAAAAAAAAAAATCAGACCATCCAGATTTTTTTTTTTTTGATCATTTCATCTCAAGCAACACAATAATGCTACTAAGATATAAGGGGTTACTGAGTGTGAGAGAATATGAGAAAAAGGAAACATTATTAAGGATAGTGAACAATAAAAGAACAGGAATTAAGAATAGAGAACAATTGACATTGCATTTAAATTTTTGAAAACAAGAAGCCGAAATAATTCCATAAATGAGAAGTATGAGAGAAGAAACTGCATAGAACTTATGGTTACATGTCAAAGAAAATCAGTCAACACTTGTCAAATGTGTTTATGGTAGAACACAGAAACTCTAGATTTCTAGATATTTTCTACATTTGAGTCCCACTATATTTCTCTGTTAAAAAATACTGCGTTCTTATTTGTTCACAAAATATTATCTTTTGATTATAAAATGAATAATTTTAGGACAGTATAAAATCTATTAATTTTTTTTGTCAGTAATTTAGAAGCAATTTGAATGAAGTAAGGGGGATTGTGATTATTTTTGTGTGCATTTACAATATATTCTTTCAACCTGAAAATGTACTTTATTTTATATATATATATATATATATATATATATATATATATATATATATATATATATATTATATTTTATATATATATGTTAATAATTATATTTTAATAGGATGTTAAAATTCGTTTAATAACACTTTCAAACTTGAATATTTCTTTGTGGGTGTATGGGTGTGTATTTATCAATGTGTGTGTGCCTTTCATTGTGTGTGTAGTCTTTTTTTTTTTCTTTTAAGGGTTGTGAACATATTTCCTGTCTCGTTGCTTTTTTGCCTGTTTATATATCTAAATATGTCTGCGTGTTTGTGTATTATAATCTGATTGTGTATCCCCACTTGCTCATGTCTTCACTTCAAATGTATCTAAGTTGTAACAGAGTCCAGAGCAGCATTGGATTTTAACGTTTATTCCAACTTAATTTCAATAAAAACAAAATAAATAGAAAAACATATGTGCTTTTTCCCTCAGTTTCTTCTTTAAATAATTTTATAATTTTTAATTTTATAGTATAATTTAATATTTATTAGTTAGAATGAATTCTATTTTAGTCTAACTCTAACATTAAAGTATTAAATAATTATTATAACCAAAGTTTGTTGTCAAGTTTTTTGAATTCCCATATACTTGTATTTTGATTAGTCATTCCAGCTATTGTAATAACATTTCCCCTAGTGAGGAGTGTTTGATTGATTTGAACCTTTTAAAACCCTTTATTCTACATTCAACACCATCACTTGATAAGACACAAGAAGTGTTGAAACAAAATGGCTATTTTTGAAGTGATTTTATAACATATTTATGTTATAATTTTCGAATAAATAATTATATATATTTCACAAACTTAGAAAGCAATAATCTTTAAAGCTGTATAAGGTTTTACTGATTTTATTTGTACATAGTTTGAAGGTTACTATTTAAAACATTCAGGACATACTATTTTAATAAAAAGAAACTGAATTGTTGAGATTAATCAGAAAACTTTAAATTTAATTGATATTTATTGGGTTGAAATAAAAGTTTGTCTACTGACAAACTTTTATAAATTTATACATAGATTTATTCAACCACATATGTGCCATTTTTGCCCCATTACCTTTCACCAACTCTGAGGCAGCATCATGATTCCATCTTCCCAGAACTTGGCATCTTTCAGTAAATTGAAGTTCTTTCCACTTAAGAGAATTTTGTAAGGATCAAAGTAAGTGGCAATCCAAAGGTGCAAGGTCAGGTGAGTACAGCAGGTGTAGTAGGCCATCCCAGCTTAGCTGTACCAATTTAAAAATTGTCTTGATGGAAGATAGCACCCTTCTAATTAGCCAATTCCA